TAGCCCCTCGGGTGACCCCACTTGTTGCTGTGGTTACTGGCCAGGTACAGGTAGCGAGGGTGGGTGCCTCCCAGGGGGAAGGCGGCCTGCTCCTCTGTCTCCAGCAGCTTCCGGGTCACCTGCATCCTCTGTATCTGGTGCTCAGGGCTCCAGGGTACCGCGGTGGGGACAAAGGCCGTGTCCTCAGCCCAGACCCAGTTCTCCAGTCCTGCCGGGGTGAGGTGGAGGTGGGTAGGGGGAAGGGTGGGAGGGAGGGCTGGTCATGCAGTGCTCTGCCCCCTCGACTTCAGAGTGGGGGCCAAAGAGAAACCCAGAACTGAGTGCGTCCCCTGCCTCTCTCCCCTCTCCCCAAGATACCCCCAATCTTCCAGCCAAAGCTGTTGACCCATAAAATATTTCTTCAACGATTTCATTCATTCATCCTTTCATACTCATTAGCAGACAGGACTGTGCTTGGCCCTGGGGACACATAGATGAATGAAACAGCATCCTTCCCATCCTGCTGTCACAGAGGACACAGAAGGCAAAGCCCTGACTGGCCTGCAATGTAAGAGGAGCACATTCAAGGGTCCAGGTTATAGGAATACAGGTGCAGGCAGGAAAAGGGGGCCTTCCTTTTCAGCCTGCCTGAAAGGGGGCAACTTTTCAGCCTGGCCTTAGAGGATATCACCAGCAGAGATGACATGGCAGGGCATTCTAGGCAGGGGCAAAACCTGAGCAAAAGCAAAGCAGCCTGACTGTAACACGTGGTGTGCATGTCCACAGACAGGGAGGGGGTGAGTGTGGCTAAAGCAGCCCTCAGGGAAGAATCTGAAAATGGGTGGGAGCTGCGCTCTGAAGGGAAGGGCCTTGTAGGCTCTTTCACAGACAGTATCCTATAGGTGATGGGGAAAATGGGAGCTACATGAGGGAGCATGCTGGCCTGGCTGGTAGGTCCCTCTGGGTGCAGCGTGGACCCTGGTTCTAAAAGTAAGCAGAGTGGAAGCAGCAGAGCAAGAACTGGCACCAACCAGGGCATGGCGGTGGGGTCTGGGAAGGGGTTTGAGGTATTTCAGAGGCAGAACAGAAAAAATCCAGTGTTCAATTCAATGTGGGGAAGGAAGTGAAGAGACAAAGACTCCAAGACATCATGTAGCCTTGGCTCTTCCTGTGACCACCAACTCCAGGAACTACCCAGAATGTTCCATGGTATCCATTCTACCCCTTGCACTTAAGTGTATTGTGCCCAGAGAGAGATGGAAAATCGGGAAGGAGGAGGGTCCATCTCCCAAAGAAATGTACAGACTGCAGTGCTCTGTGACTGCCCTGCATGTGCCAGGGACTTGCAGAATGCAGTCGGATCCTCCCAAATACCAGCACCACAGGCCAGACACAGAGAAATGAGCTGAAAGACAAATGGCTGCCTCCGTGCTGTGGGGCCCATATAAGTAAGTGCAAGGGACGGAAGAGGGCAATGGGGATTGTTAGCCCCAATCCTGATCCTGCCTCCTCCCTGAGCTTTGCCATTTCCCAAGATCTTCTGACAAGTCACGTGAGGGGAGGGTGGCAGCTGTGCACCCAGCCAGTGAGCTAAGATCCAAACAAAATTCAGCAGCCAACTCTCTCCCATCCAGCAAAGGAGGAAGCACGCAACTCCAAAACCGCAGACTCATGCTCAAATCTTCCTTTCCTGGATGACCTCCACAAAACCCAAAGCAAATTGAGACAACTCTTCAGCCTCCTCTTCTGGAATCCTTGCCCCCGCCAGGATGACTTACCTCCTACATCCAGATCCACCTTGAAGTGGGCGCTGTGGGTGTGGACAGTGCCCAGCGTGTGCTCCCTAACCTGGTTCCCGAACCTTCGGCCAGCACCAAAGAGGAATGCTGAGCTGATATAGCCCGTGGCATGGAATTTGACTTCTATGGCCCCATTGGGGTAGAAGACCATATCCCACACATAATCATAGTTGAGCAAGGTGGACACAGATCTGACGACCAGCACTGTCTCTGCAAGGCCCCCAAAATAGTAGGAGTTGAAATCTGAGTGGTGTCGCCTCAGGGGGAGGCCCTGGTTCTGTTCAAACACACAAAAGGCATCATGTATTGTCTTGGGGGATTGGGACTCCAAAAGGAAGTGCCAGTCCACGTAGGTGGCCAGGTAGGGGCAGTCCACCCCACGCGTCAGGGGTGTGGAGTACTTGCCCATGCCAAAGCTGCCATCAACATATCGGGTCATCATTGCTCCTGGGGTATTTCCACCATAGACGGCCAAGGCCTCTTGGACGCTGATCTCATAAGCCAGTCGTTCTTCCTGGAAGCGGATGTCAAAGATCCTTGGGCCACTGTAAGCTCCCAGGCCAAAGGAGAAAGTCCACAATGAGGAGGCCACTCGGGTCCCCTGGACACTGAAGCGGGGACCCTGGGGATGGACTTGCAGAGGGGGAGCTGGACCTGGGGGCACCTGGGACTTCAGGGACCAGGACCCACCTGTGCCATTGTCTGGGATCACC